ACGACGAGACCTCGTCCGCGGCCTCCGAGACCGGTATCAATGCTTCCGATAGTTGCAACACTTGACGTCTTGTACTCGTTAATCATGGTGGCCTACTACGTCGCCTGATTATCATCATGCTCACCGCTCAATCGGCAATTGACGTGCAACCGGTCTGATTTGGTCTGAACAACCTCATCGGAAGAAAGAGATTGGAGCCCAGTAGCATGACGATAACTAAACAAGTGGGCGGGTGGCATTCGTAGCACCTGTACCAGGCTCGCCTCTCGCTATAGATACAGATCCGTGTCCGGAATCACGGAACTTCCATCCTCATACCAACGAATACTGTACCTGCAATTAATGTTTTGACTGTCCGTAGCGGACGGTAAGTCATGCAAAAGACTTGATTCAGAAAGAGGGGTCTGCACAAAACAGTTCCACAACACATGGTGGCGTGCATGCGTATCATGCCCCACTCTTCTTTCCGGTATACCAGCATCTTGCCCAGTGAACTGATGTTTTATCTTCAACAAACACTGCAGGTTCATTTACCCGGTATCTGGGTTTCCTTCAACAGCAGTGCGCACTTCTACTTGCAGGCCGAAGTGTTTTCAGGCAAAATGAGCAACATGTGCACTGCTGGCAGTCATCGACTAAGATCGTACTTGTTGAATCCACGCGCGTCCGGCTTCAGATGTGGAGAGATCTCTTAGTCCAATCGTCATTCTTCTAGCGTTGATATGTTGTATGGTGAATTTTTGTTTCAGGGAATGACGTTGCCATAGGTTGTGTAAGGGGTCCAAGGACAATACTTCCCCATTCTCCATAGCTTTAGATCGTTGCAGTATCCTAGATTTGCGCTAACAAGATGAAACGATAGGCAGCAGACACTTCAAGTCAAAGCTGTCAGCTATGCGGAAGCTGGACGCCTTGAAGCCAGAAGCGGTCGATCTGGAGAGTGTCAGACGCTCTTCTAGATGGCGCACTTGTCTCTCAATAGCATAGTGAAGGCTATCGCGATGCAAGTGCGTTGTTTTACCTGGCACTATCTCGCTGTGTACTGGTTTACTGCACGCTGCTATGGCTGTCATAATCTCAATACACTTTGGGGTTTTCAGCGAATCGGCATCGCTCCGCTGATGCTTAGTGTGTGTCGCCTTTATCTGTCCGAGGCTCAAAAGCATGATGCTAACCAGAAAAGCTACAGTTTGGGGGCGTCATCAAGATCCCACATTCCTGGCCCACTAGCTGAAGATACTATCGGAGACCCACGGACCTGGATCAGAGATCTCTTTGTAGATCGAAGCCCTACAATCTCGCTCCAACGTGCACTAGATACATCGCTAGAACTAACATCATCTTCCGCACGCGACAAGCGAACGCAGTCCTCAGCGGAATTGTCGCCGTGGAGTCTATCGGTCATGTTTGAACAATTTTAAAGGCACCGTCGTTGCTTGCATGGAAGGCTCTCGTTAATGGCAGCTTAGAGCTTCGCACTTGTTTCGCATTCGCGTTGGTATGCAAATTCGCAAGCATGGTAATCTAGGTAATGTCGGCTGTGAAATTTGTCACTTCCCCATGTTGAGCGGACAATTTCCCACTGTCTCTTACGCGCTAGGTGCACGTTCGCTTCCAGTCGAATGAGTTGTGACCTCGGCAGCTGACGGTTGCCAATTAGGCTTGGTTCCTGCATATGACTAAGCTGCGCGAGCCGCAGATCGTTGGCTCAGCCACCTTCGACCCTTCTTTTCCCAGCTGAGATCGGCTTCACCTGCCGTTCGCACACATCTGCTGGCACTCATGCTGCAAAATCAATATTTCGGACGGCCAGGGTAGGCGATGCGACCGCTACGACTTGCCCTGGCTGCAGGACAGCATGACGCAGTCGTGTAGTACCTCCAGAAATCGACGGGTTCGCATTCACTCCCACATCACTATTCAACATCACTATTCAACACTACAAAGTGACATCTTGACAGCTCCCGTCGAGCTGGATCATCTACTTCCCGTCAACTAATGCTGCCAAGCGTAGTCGGCTCGGAGAACATCGCTCGTGGTCATATACGCGGATTAGCATGCGAAAGAGAACCCGGGACAATCAAGATCTCTTGGCACGGGAACAAGAGTCTAACGCCGATCCGGCGTGCGGTTACCATCAGCCGCAGTCGGTGCTGATCCTGATCGTCCGTCTCCTGGGAGAGCGCCCCACAGAAGTCGTTGACAACTCGGTAGACAGTAGACACAGCCACAATCCCGCCAGGCATCCCTTCTGCAGTTCCATCGCGTACCCGAAGATCAAGCACTGAGCAGAATTTTCGCTACGAGTATTGCGGACCTGTTTTACGCGAGAAAACTACAGCATGCGGCGCAGACTAACGACGATGGCCTACTGCATTTGGACCTGCGTGACAGCGCACCTGCATCCATCATCTGGGACTCTGTCCCCACCGTCACCGGCCGGTGAGCTCTACGCTTGTTATCCTCTAACCACAAGCTCCAGGGGTGCACAAGATATCACTACTATATCTTGTTGGTGCATGATGGCTGCAATTTGTGTGTAAGTTGTGCGCATGGTACCGTCGTCTCTCTATTCCAGACCTGGCCAGCCTCGAAGCACTGGCTCGGGATGTAAGGATGATCGGTGCCGTCTCCGTTTCGCAACCAAATTACCTGCAGTGGCTTCAACGCTAACACGTGGCTCTTTCGGAACACCTTCGCGGAATGATGTGATAGCGGGAAATGGTGTCGTTAGCACAGGGTTCCGACAGGCTCCGTTTCGGGGCATTTACTCACACCTTGGTACGTCAGATGTGTCGAAACGGATCACTAGGTGCTCTAACGCCAACCTTAATTCCAGCCAGGCCTGGCAGGACCTACCTCTCCCGGTCACAAGGTAGACCCCCGCTGCACTTCAAACATCTCGAACAACGACAATCGTTGTAGATGAGGAACCTTACTATCGACTCTCCTTTACTGTGCAGGTGTCGACAGCGTATCCTAGATTTCTAGGGAGAGAGAGCGTCTGCAACCACAAATGACGAACTGCAACCACGATCTCGTGAGAAATGACGTCAGGCCTCCATACGAGTATACGAGATCGAAACCATGCTCTTCATCGAGGGGAGATCTCAGCGCAACGTCCCCCGCCGTCACTGTCAACGGGTCTCGGAAACCTCGCCTATCGCGGTACATCAGAACTGAAAATCCGCAATGTAACTGTGTATCCTGTTGCATGCCGCAAAAGCGTAAACACCGGGCTGAGCAGAAACGCTCATTGCTCCGGCGCACCTCATTCGTGCGCCTCGCTCAAAAAGAACCCACCACCAATCCACATCGCCACCCCCGGCCGACAGCGTACTGACAGCATGCGATGGCGGAGTTGCGCGATACATTGCAAGGTTTTAGGCGTGAAATCTGTCGCTCTTTTTTTGCTTCTCCCGTACCGTTGGCTGTGCAGTGTAGATCAAGAGTTGCTTCTCTGTCTTCCTGGGCACGCGAGTCCGGCCAAGCCTGGCGGAGATGCCTCCGCAACGCCTCGGTACAAAGAAAGGGAGAGCTTTTAGGTAAAGGCGTTCAGCTGCGTATAGGTGCTGTACCTAAGGCGCATGCGTTCAGGCGAGCATCGCCGGCTGAGGGTGTGGTGCTCTACTTTCAAGTCCAGAGCCACCTTTCTTGCTTCCTTTTTCGATCTCTAGGTGGTGATCTCTTCGACTGCATCTCCGGCGTCGTTTGCAGAGGGGGCTGTGTGCATGATCCAAACTCCACGAGTTTGGAATGCCACTATTCGCAACTATGCATGACTGCATTAGAACAACACTTGACGTCGTTCGATGAGTAAACGTCTCAGGCGGGTACAGTGCCCGCACGTGATTGACTGGTTCCACGGGTTAGTGCGACTTGTATATTAGCGCGATTGATTTGTTTCAGAGATGTGATATCGATTCTTTAATGAGTGTACATCCGGAGCGGAAAGCCATTCGTTCACCCCGGGCCTTCTCTCGCGGCCCAAGTCTCGATGCACTAGTTTAGCCATAGCTCTTGGTAGCGTTAAGTACCTTTTCTAATCATCTGTGAAGAAACTCTGGATTCTGGAATCAATATTGCTTGTAAAGACGATCGTGATGATGAGTCTAGCTACAGGCCGAGGCTCGTATTGTGTGACTTGTACGTATCTTTTACACTGTTAATTTTGAAAGAGAGCAATCTAGCCTCTGCAATAGCATCGCTTGGCCTACGTGCAGCTTCTCGGCCTTGAATCGATGCATGATCATGAATGTATGTGTAATAATGATATGAGAATGACTTCAGAGCTTAACAGATCATTTCTCAGATACTAATGAAGACCGTTGTTGACATGCGTCGGACATGGAGCAGCACCTGTAAATGCGTGCTAGTCCCATCGCAGGAATACCTATGTACACATTATTGCTGGATGTATTGTGCCGGATACATCTGCCCAGGCATGCAGTATACGCATCCGTGTATCAGCCTAAACAGAACACGAGAGAGCACAACGCGATTTCTTGAGATACGAGAAAGGACCGAAGAGTCGACGTTGACTTTAACCGTCATCTGTACAGTATCAATACATCCTTGTATCCTCCAGCCTTCCCTATCAAGAAGCCCACGTGCCCAGCGCCATCTCCCTAGCCCCTAATCCTCGAACCCATCTTCGTTCTCGAAGCCTTTGTACTCATCAATCTGTGCGTTCAGAGATGGCTCAGAGGAGTTTGATCCACTGTCAGACGTCAGGAAAGTTGTGCGGACCCATGGGAGACTCGGTCAGTACAACACCTTCGCAAAGCCAATTACCCCTCGAAATATCCTTGGCTGGCTTCGTATTTGCAAACAGCTCGCGAGCCTAACCAAGGTCGAAGCCGAAGACACATCAGACTAGTCGCTACTAGTAAGTAGAGATGGCCGTAAAGGTTTGCGATTGATCGAATCTGCTTCATCTCGTCAGATTTCTCAATGTTGTCCGTTGGAAGCGGAATCGGGGGCCCGTTGAACATCTGGTCTCATAAGCTCATACCCCAGTCATCGAGATCGGTCTCCAATAGCTCGGGAAATATCTGTGCCAGACCAGCTGACATTAACGTCTTGTACGATACGGCCTTGTATCCAATGCCTCTGATTGGTCCATGAGCCAAGTACTCATGAAGTCCGTCGGGCTTGAACAGGTGCGGAACATGCCAGACCAAGACGTCTCCATCCAGCTGGTGTGTGTCCATGATTGCGACGTGGGGACCGTATTCTTCTTCTATGGATCCAGCATAGCAGAGAGCTAGGTGAAGTGACGCGGTCCATGAGCTGAATTCGGAGGTGAAAACGGATTCGGTGTCGTAATGGTCTCGCACCATTTTGAAAAGCTCACTTTCAGGCTTGTCGTAGAATCCGCTTCCAGAGGCTTTCTTCATGAAGCCGTGCGGAATGATCTCCTTGACACTGTTAGTTGCGTGTTCTGATCCTCCACTGCTGTTGCTGCTCCAAGTACGAAATAAGAATTGAGGGATATGGTTCTTGCGGAAATCTGTGAGAGTTAGCCAAGAGCGTGATGTGAGAGCAGGGTGGAGTACCTTCGAAATATGCCTTGCGGTCACCCGTAATTGGCTCCATGTTGCTTGCGTCCAGCATGATCGCCTAGGTATAGTCAGTGTCGATGTCGTGGTTAAGGCAGAAAGCTCTTTGAGGATGGGTATTGGATGATAGAAGAAGATTGAGGAATTGTTGGATACGTATATAAGTGTGGTAGCAGTTTTTCTAGATAACTATGATTTTGATCGCTCTTATTGTCCTTGCGACACAATAGCAAAAGACGGGAGGTTTCGATTTTCAAGTAAGTGAGGTGAAGGCGACAGTCCGTCCTCCAGTCACCGAGAGTTCTCCGCCTGAGTGCTAGGCAACGACTCTCTTTGAGACAGCAACTTCGATGCAGATTTCGGAGGCATCAAACGATGTTAGGGCTTGTTGTCCTATTCGGAGTTTTGAGAAGTTTAGCTCACGCTGAATACATCATAATTCGATGTCTACAGTGCCATCTCATGTATTGGAAACAAGGCCTCCAATGGACGCAAGCAACGCTACCTATGTTCTAGACATATACCTCCCAGTCTCCAACTACGCAAGTAATATATCCAGGAAATCGTCTCACTCTTTGCAGCAAGCTTCAAGACAGACTAAACGTACATTCTCGAAGTGCACGGATATGCCTGCCTCCAGCAGCCGACCAAAAATCTCCACTCCAGCCTCTTTGTAGTCCTTTACTCGCTGCTTCGGGTCGTTGTCGAAGTCGAGAGATATTCTTTTCAAGCTGCGCAGCTTGCTGCGGTCATCCAGAACTCCGGAGATCCACTCTATCACAGCGGTAGTCGGATCAGCTACATTAAGGTAGTCTACATTCGGCGGCAGCGCCTCGAACGGATGGAGAGGGGAACATCCGTAGGGGGTTGAGTTGATGAGAACACTTTGCGGAATGGATAGGCGCTTTATTAAAGTGAAACGTTGCAACGATCGTGATGGTCGGAGGTAGTCGATCTGTTTAGAATCTCCGGTGTCAGAGCACTTTAGCTCCAGCTCTTCCAGAAGATGTGAGGCAGGGATCAGCGGATCGATAATGATGGAAGACGTAAATCCTTGCTTAGGGTAGCATATGCGTTCTTCTGTCGGGATGCCGGGATCATAAGAGCTATAATAAGCCCGAATACCATCATACATGTTGCCATCTTTTTTTCTCCAATTGGTAAAACACAAGCGCAAAGACCTCAGGGCGGGGACCCGTTGGAAGAAAGGCGATAGGTCTTGTGTATCCGCTGGCTGATATTCGTAAAGTGTTGGGCGCCGTAGTGTCAAGGTAGTGATACCATGAAATAGGATGACTGGTTCTTTGTCCCATGCTACGAGCTCTGTACAATCAAGCTCCAGGTGTAGCAGCTTTGGAAAGGTAGACCAAGACCTGTTCATTTCACCCCAAGCGCCAGATAGCCTTCGGAGCTGTGGAAGAAGCAGAAGATCAGGAGCAGTAACATCATGCGCTTCGGCTATGCCAGGGAACGTCAGACTCAGGCTTGGTGGCGTCATGAAATCCTCGTTATCTCCAGAGCAGAACGTGAGAGTCTGCAGCTGATCTGTCAACACCAGCAGTAGGCCAATGCAAGCATAAAGATTGCCATATTTGACGAAGCTAACCCACTTCATCTGATCGATGGGCCAAGATTGTGTCGACTTTATTGCGTGTGTGACGACCTGGTCCCAGCACTCCTCATAGATTATAGCTAATCTGTAAATTGGCTGAACACCACAATATCCCGTTATTTGCAAAGAGCGGACCTTCTTAGCGAGATCTGGCCGTTGTACTAGGGTTCTGAGGAGTTCCAGAAGAGACTGGGAATACTTCCTCAGACTGATGGAAGTGTGGAGAGCTTCTTGCGCGATGTCGCGGAACTTGCGTGCAGTTAGGGCTAGGTCTTTAAGATCGGGTGGCTGAAGGCGCAGCGCGATATCAAGCAGGAGCTCGTCCGGTAGGTTCTCAAGCTCGGCCATGATCGCACTCTGAGATGGAGGTATCGACTAGAACTGGGTGTATGATCGTGGCAAGTTGGAGATAAAATGAGGATGTCAGCTTGATAACATTGAAAGCTAAATGTTGGGTAGGCGGGAAAGTAGATTTCTAACATTAGCTTCGTTAAATAATCGTGTGGAAGTCAGACTTTGGTTCTACCCAGCCAATACCACGGTACTCTGATGAGTTACGCAATGGCCCGTAGACGAGGAGCCAGTCATCATTTCCGCAACGCCAACAACACCCACGAAGGAACGGCGTAGGATCCGAAGATGATTCAAAAAGTCGCATTCTGCTGCGATGGTAGATTGTGACGTTTTACATTTTTCCTGGTTTAGCACGCCGGCCGCCTATCTCAATTTAAGCATCAGTACCCTGGAACATGTTGCCCACGCTCGTCTCAGACTTAACAGCATCCTCATGATAATGCGAACCCGCCGAGGTAACCGTAGTGTCCAACTCTTCCAGACGCCTCAAATCCATAGGCGCAGCCAAAAGCGGAATGACGTAAGGATCGAAAGTCTTCCAGTAGGGGTTGTTGAGGTGGTATTGCTGGGACTGCGGAGGAAGTCAGTACGTTACGGGATGAATAAACGGTCTTTTTTCGGATCTTGAGTGAGCGTGCATCATTCTCGGGGTTGAGGGCATGCGCCAAAACATGCTCCTCCGACATCTGCTCACACCCAAGATAACAAAAATCCTCCCGTCCATTATCATGAAGCAAAATAAGGGAAAGGTCAAACTCACAGATTCCTTCAAGTACCGCTCAACAATAGTAAACTTCCTCTTATCCACCGTATCCTGCATAACGAACCAACTCAGCGTCTCCTTATCCTTGCTGTACACCTGACTCGCTTCCACAAGCTTAGCACTCAGCTTGCTGATGCTCTCCTGGTCTTCCTTGGCGAGGAGGTGGACGACGATTGTGTAGACCATTTTGGCTTCTCTTGTTCCTTTCCTGCTTTCGTGTCTTGTTGTGTGCTGTGTTGATGTGGAGACTGGCGATCAAGCTTCTTCGCTTCGCTTGAGAAATGGAGTTGCGTGCGTAGTGAGTATACCAATGGGACAGTATGATTGAGAAAGAGAAGAAGATTTGAACGTCGCGACAAACCACAGTAGATTTTTCTGCATCGGTGATGCTGTTTTTGCGGCCTAGTGACGTATCACCGCGACGGAACCCCGCAGCTGAAAGTGGAGTTCGGCCGATCTGCATGCCTTCCTTCCCACGCTATAAGCATCACCAAGGAACGGGAAGGAGCGCGCAGCCGCAACATCCCCAAAAAGCAAGACAAGGAGCACAATGAGTGTCTTCGTAGGCGCGGGATGTAAGGCCGACGATAAAGCGAAGCCACGTGGGGACGTGGGACGCGGGATGCAAGCACCACCACCAGCACACTAAGCACAGCAACCAAGATTTTTTGAACTTGAAGATCAATTACACATCGAAACAACGAGAAAGAACAAGAACGGAAGTGCCTCCCAACACCCCGCCCTGTTCTTCCTCATCTATGTAGTAACTAAACTGATAAGCTAAAGAAGGGGGGAATTTGCGAAAAGACAACGCAGTCGCACCGTAGCAACGCTAAAGTTACACCATCATCACCATTCCCAATTCCACCCAGGTAAATTGAATAAAACACCACCCCATATGCTATGCCATGCCGTTAAAGCGAATGATAATCGAAAACATGGGTACTACTACTATGCCCTGCTGAGCATCTTGAGCACCTCCTCCTTCTCGCTCGTGGGCAGAGTGCTGAGCAAGCTCATGACACCCTTGAGGCCGCCCTCGCGGTCCTTGCGCATGAGCTGTGCGATTTCGAGCGCAATGCCGTCCGTCTTGAGTTGCTCGATCTTGTCGCTGACGAGGGGCCTGTTCTCCTCGTACCAGGTCGCTACGGCCATGTCGTCTTGCTCCCAGTTGGGGATGTTGGACAGGTGCTTCAACATCTCGAAGCCGCGGCTGCGGGTGAGCGGGTTGGCCATGGGGTTGTCGTGTGTGGGCGAGGCGGCAGCGGCGAACTTCTTGAGGATGTACTCCTCGTTGAGACGGCGGCGGAGGCGCCAGTAGAAGAAGCGGCGGGCGTTTTGCCAGCGAAGGGCTTGTCGGATGACACCCTTGGCCTGCATGCGGCCGGAGCGGTCGTGCAAATCGGCGAACTGGAGGGCAATTTGACCGTAGACAGGTAGAAGCTTCTTCTCGCGCTCGGTCATTTGGGCCTTGATTTCGCTGAGCTCGGACTCTGGTGTTGCCTTGTCGTTCAGCTTGCGCTTGAGAGCACCGTAGGTAGGGTCGTTGCGGGCCATAGTGTCGAGTTGACGTTCCCGACGGTACTTGATACCGACGATACCTTCGGGTTCGAGCACACCACCACGCGAGTCCTCGTCGGCGTACATCTCCATGAATTGAGGGTTGATAGTGGGATCAACAACGACCCAAGATCCACCACGGAGCTCGCCGTAAGGAGGAATGTAGACGAAGATGGGCTGTTCGAACTTGACGAGAGCGTCGACAATGTAAGAACCGTACTTGAGGACCTCATTGTACATGTCGCGCTGACCACCGGAGAAACCACGCCAGTTGGCAAGAATCATCAAAGGCAGTTGCTCACCGTTGTTGAAGTCCTTGATAGCCTGAGCAGTCTTGAAGGCGGAGTTGGGGTACCAGACACCACCAGCCTCGGATGTGACCTGTTCGATGGAGTCAGGGTTGGCGGGATCAGCAGGTGTAACGTTCTCGACCGAGCGTGTCTCAACCCCGATGACACCAATAGGAATGCCACCGAGGCGAGCACGACCGACCACAACCGTCTTAGCCCAACCACCAAGAGTCTCAACGAACGAACCGCGATCGAAGAGACCAGACTGGAAACCGTCTTCGTCCTCCTTTCCGGCGATGAGATGCCTGACATCGTAGGCTGACTTGCCAGGTGGGTAGTAGGTGATGTCGCGGTCCCAGTTGTCGGCAGATGGCGAGATAGGGACGGGGCTGCCCTTCTTGTCGGGTACGTATGACAGCCACTGGACGATCTTAGAGACACCCTCGAAGTCATCATCGGCAGTCGAGTGCGAGACACCGTTCCTATACATGATTTGGGTACCACCAAGCTGGAGGTTAGAGGTGTAAACTTCACGACCGAGCAGCTTGTTGATGGCCTGTGCACCAGTGAGGATGATTGGCTGTCCTTCAATCTGGATGGCACGCTGACCAAGGCGGACGAGGTAAGCACCGATACCTATGTAGCGTTAGTAAACGAATTTGGACATTGTGCAGGGAATACATACCAACTGAGCGGCAAGTCACCAAAGTGATGGTGAAAATGTCCTCGTAAGCCCTCGATGTCTCACCGGCGATAAGACCGGAGCCACGGAGCGATTCAACACCAAGACCATCCTCAGCACCAATAACAGTAGTGATCTTGTAGCGGTTCTCGCCATCAACCTCAACCTTCTCGCAGATGACATCATTGCGCTTGCCATCAACGAAGTGCTCGTACTTCTCAGGTGTCAGGTAGAGGTAGTCGAAACCAGCCTCGGGCTTGTCGGCGTCCTTCCATGCAACAGAGAAGTGAGGAATGAGCTCCTCAGCAAGACCGATACGAGCACCAGAGTTGGCAGAAAGGTAGATTCGCGGAATGCCAAGCTTGCGTGCAAGCTCAGAGCACTTGTGGAAGAAGTTGTCTTCCGCTGGACCGAAGGAACCGATCTTGAAGGTGATGTCGTTGGCGATGATGATGAAGCGACGACCACGGGGGTACTCAGGTGTCTTTGCGGTGACCATCCATCCGACCATACCAATAGTGTTGTGGCCAGGGTCACGGTTGACCTCAGCCAGGTTGTCAGTGTCGTCAAGCACCAACTCGTAGTACTCGAGGCACTCTCCCTTCGCCGGCTGCCTGTCACGGAGGAACGAGTGCTTCTTGATAGCCTCGATCCAGCTGTTTTCGGTCGCCTGGCGGAAGAGCTCAGGGAAGTCGTACACGTACTGAGTACCCATGAGATGAGCCTTGTACCTCTTTGGCTGCAGCGCTCCCTTGGTGGGGTAAGGAGTCGAGACGGGCTGGAGGTGAAGAGCACCAATCTTGGTGGTTCCACCAATACTGTGGAAGAGCCACTTACCAGCCTTCTCAGACTTGCGCTCAGCGTACATCTCAACCTGGATGACGTATCCAGAGGTGTTGGTGATGATGACACGGAGAGGGTAAGGAATGCCAGTGGCGGGGTCGGTGACAATGATGCGAATCTCAGCGCCAGTGACACGGAGACGCCAGAGTCGTCGACCGAAGCGCTCCAAGAAACCGCCAATAGCCTCCTCAACCTCGGTGGGATTAAGAGGGAAGACGTGCGAGAAGTTAATGAAGATGTGGTTCATGTCAGCCTGCGAAGTACCAACAATCTCCAAAGCATCCAAAATGTCAGTCATCAACCTGTCGGTCTCAGAGACCATGTACTCGGCGGTGGGGATCTCCTCGCGAAGACGGCCAGATCGGACGACAGCCCTCAAGAAGTAGCGCTTGTCGCTCTCAGCGCCCTTGCCAACAGCCTCGTAGATGTGGATGTTGCGGTTCTCAGTGAAGACGGGCTTGATGTCGAACTTGGAAAGTCTGCCAAGCTCAAGCTGGAAGGCAAGAGCAGGCTCGACGTGACGGATACTAGCGTCTTCCTCGTATGTGGGTCCACGGAAAGTGTAGTAGCCGGGGTAGGTTCCGTCCTTGTGACCGCAGATGAATGAGATGCGGCGGATACGGCGGGACAGAAGCTCTTGCTTGAAGTCGTCGACAATGGGCAGGATGCGCTCGAGGATCTCCTTATCATCACTGCCTTCAATGTCGCGGACAGCAATGTTCAGAACACCAGTAAGCTCGTCAGTGTGCTTGGGCTCGTTTACTCCAGTAGTAGGAGTGCGCTTCAGGGTAAGACCCTCCCTCAGGCCGATGCCACCCTTCTTCTCCTTGCCGAGATTGGGGAAGATGTCGAGCGC